AGACGTTCTTGCTGGTGATTTCGATAATGACACCGATGATGTAGAAAAAGGCAGAACCGGAGATGGTGAGACGACGACCGAAGGTATCAGCGAGAGGAGCTGAGCCTAAGCATCCGAAGAGAGTACCGACACTGGGAGATTGTTAGACGCGTTCATCCCGTTGCGGAGGAAGTGACTTACGCAAGAAGACCGACAATGGCACCAGAGCGGACAGCAGAGAACTCGTTGTTCTCACCGCCGAAACGTGCCTTGAAGTCGTCCATCTCGAGGAAACCAGAGATCTGTCCAGACTCATATCCGAACATGAATCCACCGATACTGGCACAAGCACCGAGGATAACGGCAATGGCAGGCACGCGGCCCTTGGGCTCGAGATCCGCAGCCTGGACGGTCTCAGAGTTTCCCCTAGGAGGTGTGTCCGCAGGAGTGGCGGTGTTGGGTGTTCCCTTCTCGTGGATCTCCTCCTCGGTCGCCTTCTTCTTGAAGAAACGCGACATGACCGTCATCTTGGGCGCGTGGTAATTAGGAATCAATAGAGAAAAACAAAAGGGTATCGAGCAAAAGTCGAGCTGGTCTGCAGCGCGGGGTATACGTCTCAAACAAAGCGAGCTGGAGAGAAGCTGGAGAAGAGGAGACCAGTGTGGGCTATGAGGAGAAGGCTGCACCGTATAAATAGCAGAAAATGCATGCGGAGACGGGTTCGTAGGGTCTATTGACAGTGGAGCCCCAGTGTCAGTCTCATCCGCATACCCATCCGACTAACATTTTCCAGAACGCCCTAGCCATGGAGGCGAAAGGAGATACGCTCGCACGAGCGCCCTGACAACGGAGGTATGATGACATCGCATCGTGGAGCTGGAGCTGACAATGGGGCAGCCTGTCACGAGCACGCTCGAGCCGGAGAGCTGCCGGTCGTGAATTTTCTTCATCGCGTAGTATCGGAATGGTCACTGGACACGCCGAGAAGCACAGACAGTTGATAGTGCAACGATCGGCCCACTGCAGCTGTTGCAAGTATACCACCCTTCCGGTTCTGGTGGATTGTTCCTTGGGGTCGTATACGGGGTCGTATAGTTTCTGATCTTGCCCCAGTGACTCCAGTATCGCGTGCTCCAACGGTTTCCCCTCACATGGCTATTGTGGATGGTGACGTTGGGGTGCGCTTCAGTATCGGCGAACTGCTCCATCCGAGTATCCAATGTTAGACTTCATCCAGCCGGCCTATGAGATAGCTTGGAGCTATCCGGGATGTTTCCTTATGCAGGGGCATAGACGCGTCTATAGCGCAGACGAGGCTGACAAGTGCTTCATATCGTTGGACAATATGCAAGACGTGTACGCACGGACGCGACGGCACTCGCTAGCTTCCGCAGAGCCTCAAGTCGCGTTGGATCGTTCACACCGGTTCGGAGTCCATCTGGTCGCCATTGGATGGTAGCCGGAACGAAAAGGTTATCCTAGGGCTAGGGCAGCACGTTTTTCGTCCCAGGTAGCCGGTGACAGGTGCGCCAGAGTTTCTGCATTCGAAAACCGGGGATGACAGCTCCTGCGGGTTGTCCAAATTCTTCGCGGAGCGCGGTAAGTCCAGACTGGCGACGTCAGAAGTCCACTCCTACGTCACTGCGACTTTTCTTCGCTGGCAAACTCATGCGCGCATTCTCGGTGTCGGTGGTTCCAACTTGGCAGGTTTCCCAGCAAACGCCGGTCTTGGCCGACGCGCGATAAAAACCTCATCTCCGACTCCGAGGTTGCAGCGCTAGCGGCCCGCTACGTGCATCGAAGCGTGAAAATCCTGAGCCAAGAGTCCTGAAGTCTCTGAGAAATACGGGTCCGTGTGGATCAATGCGAGAGCATCGTGAGATGAGCAATGTGCCATGTGCCGGCATCCAGGTCACGCTTTCGCGTCGAGATTGTGAGACCGGGTGATGTTCGGGAGACCGAGGGGTTACCGGATGTTGGGAACGGCAGTATGTGGGATGACGATTGTGGTGCGCATGTGGGGAGACACGTTGATGGAGTCTCCAGATACGTCTACGATGGTTAGCTTTGACTCCTGACTCCGTATTATAGTAGACAGGTACCCCGTGGGTGGTGTGAGTATGGGGTGCCGACCGCAAACAGAACGATGCGTGATGTGACAAAACAAGCAAATATACGTACCAGTCTCAACCATTCGATTGAGCGCACCAATGCCAAAGAGTCATTTCTCTTAAGCTTGGTAGCAACATGTCGCCGTCGTTCTGAAAAGAGCCAAAGAGACGTTCGACCCCGTGGGGAGCGCGACCTCTTATACAAATTACTTCGGACGGCTTTCCTCCGGCTGTGGAGATGCTTCGACCCCAGAGAGACGCCGATCCACCAATGAATGATGTAGTCCCGTGATGAACGAGCCGACTGCCGTTTCTTTTGCCTAATGTACCGCCTCTTTTGAGCCTCCTTTCACCCTCTGCCTGAGTCGAGAAGCGCGAAGTCTTCCCGCATGTCGGATGGCATCCTGCTTTGGGAAAGGTTCAGGCCACCTCCGCAATGCGCGATGCTGCCGTGGTGAATGTCGCATTGGAGCCATGAAAGCGGTTGTCGTGCTGAACAGGCTGCTAGAATGACGGAGACTGTAGCATCATTGTCCTGACGCTTGCGTGCGATGTTTGCTCTAACTCCAGGTGTTGCAAAGCGCGTGTGCATCCATTTGCTTCGGATGGGGCGGAATGGGGTGTGGAGAAGGAGCTCTGGGGTAATGCGGATTAGTTATCGCCAAGCGCCACTAGCTACCAAAAAGGACATGACAGCGTGCTTTCCCTTGACACATATTTTGTCCAGTCAACGCATAACAGCACTGGAACTTAGGCGATGCATACTCCCTACTCATTGCACTCGTTGTTCGAATGATATGCGTTGAATCGCGATGCCTGACACTCTGCTTCATCACGATACTAGCCATATATACCCGGTCCCGGCGCATGGTAGCTAAGTCTCCAGAATAGGTCACAGTGCACGTGCAACTTTCGCGCGGGCATACTCACATCATGGATCAGGGATTGGGCGTCTCATATTCGATGTACCTACCTGATTGACCTCATGCTAGTATCGGCGTGTTACCTCGGGTGTGAAGAACTCGAGAAACTCTAGCACTGTCCAGGCATCTCCAAACTCTCGTTATACAAGCGCTTCTTTCCGGCTGTCCTTCTTGCTGCCAAATCGCCACGTATCTCCACGAATAACGTGCCTCAAATGCCGTCTCTGTACCACTCCCTGATCTGCGCGACCCAATCCTCGAACCCCTTCTTCTTCCGGGGATACGAGTACCGCACTTCGGCTTCATCGTACTCGTCCATCGGATAAACCTTGATGTTTTTCGAGAGCAGTCTGCCTCCTGCGCAGGTCCAGTCCCTAATGGTTGTGTTCTTGTGCATGTGTCTTGCCATCTTTCTGATTTCGCTTGCAAGACCTGCATCAACCTGGATAGGAAGCTTTTTCCTTCGCAAAACACGCTGTAGCGCAGCTCCAACCACAAGCAATCTGCGACATCCAAGTTCCTTTCGTAGAGCTTGCGTAAAGATGGCCACTTCGAGCTGCGGATTTCTCCGGCAGAAAAACACGAAATGATCAAAGGGTACATCTGAGAGAAAGCGGTCTCCTTGTCGATCATGCTTGTAATACATAAGTTGCCGAGTTGCAGGACCAGAGGTAACGGCAAGGGTATTACGGGAAGAGTCGTCAAAGAAAGCGTCAGCCGGCGAAACCCCCATCCAAGCAGTCTCTATACGAAGCTGCCGACAAGTGTGCTTGAGTTCATTGAACTGGTGGAATATTCTTGCATGGGTCTGACATGGTGCCTTGTGAAGATAGCCAATCACCCGTAGCGGTTTTGAGTTATCCAGTGCGTACCCGTAGATCTTGTTGCGTATCTCGCCAGGTAGTCGGAGAAGTGGACTATGGAACTGAGGCAGGATTGGTTTTGGCACTAGCAAAAGTGTTAGTGACGTAGCCGTGATTGCAATAGGTAAGATTACCCGCGCCGCTGCCCTCGGCACTCGCAGTCGCCATTGACTGAGCTATACTGTTAATTGCTGTTGTTGTTTATCGTTCTTGAAATGCCAGGACAAAGAGTTTTGAGGTTGCTAGGGCGGAATCGTGTAGGGAAGGCAACAACAAACAAGCAGGCTACGCGAGGGTCGAGCGCACTGACGCGAAGTGAAGGTAAGTCGACGAACTACTTCTCGCATGGTGACGTAGTATGGCATTGACTTGATGAGAACAGGCAACAGCACGTTAGTTATCATACCTATCGTCTAACAACATGATCTCTAGAGATTACAATGTATAATTGCAGAATGCAATCAGGTAGTTGGTCGGTTTATCTTCACAATTCCTCGATTCTAGAAAAGGGAAATATTACCTAGGTACTTAGCTATTCACCTGGACAGGCACCAATGACATCGGTTACATGGTTTGTCTCATGAAGCTCATCATATCTCTCAGAACGTTTCCCTAGTAGGTATCATCCTAGTATGTGCAATGCTCATCCGCGCCATTGATCTCTGGAGATGAGTGTGGGGACGTGATTAGCGTACTAGCGCCTTGGCGAAATCGAGGCGACTTTCAGCACGACACCAACATTTTGACTCACCATCGACATCCACACCGCTGCGAATGACCATGAACACCACCATGGCAAATGATCCGCAGCAACAATTCGGCCAAGGCCTTGGAAACGGTGGCGATCGCCCACCCCATCAGAAGCAACCTGGCGATCCACAACGTGGACATTACGCGGAGGGTCTCCGCCCGACTGACGCGCTGACTATCTTCAAAGATGCAGGCGTAAAAGGACACCACACGTTGTGCATAGCATGCGGACAGAAGGCAAACCTGTCGCATCGCAACCAATGGCGCAAATGTCGAGGTGGCTGTGCTTTGAATCCCACCCATCACCATCCCGGGCAACCCTGCTCCGACTTGATGCGGGTTGCTAACGAAGACTGGTGTTTCTCGCATGTCAGAGAATCGCTGAATGCCGAACGTGACGCAGCTCGTGACCCAGAGCACAAACAGCGCGCAGAACAGCGAAGAGAGCAAAAGGCTGACGCACCCAAGCCCGGTTCCAACCGGCCGCCTCAGCAGTATGGCAGGCCGACTTCCCCTCAAGGCCATTCTCAGGCTCCCCAGATTGACCATCTTCAAGGCTATGGGCAAGCTTCTACGCTGCCTTCGCGATACCCCGACAACCAGAGGCCGACTCAAGGTAGGCTCTTTGGTGACTACCAAAACCCCGATCATGATGCCGGCCATTCAAACAGCAGCTACGGCGCTGGATATGAGGTATACAGTTCTCGAGATGTTTCTGCTGACCCTAGGCATGTGTACGACGGTGAGTACTCAGCCCAAGATGGTCCAATCCGCAAGCCCGACTTCCGTGAGCGGAGTCCGCCAAGGGAATCACTCCCAATCCACGGCAGCTATCGTGATCGAGCGCCTTCGACCGTCCGTGCTACTCGTGAGCCACCGAGCTCAGAATCGGCCACCGAGCGCATGGCCAAGATGCTCGCACAGCGCAAGGCAGAGTCGGGTTTCCCATCTGCTCGACTGGCTCGATCGCCCACACAAGCACAAGGTGCTCAGAGCCAGGTACAGCCGGATCTGGAACGCAGGTTCCAAGAACAGCGTCTTCAAGCTGCTACCACCGCTATTGCAACACTGCAGCAAGAGGCGACTGCTGCAAACACGAGGTATGAACAGCTGAAGACAGCACATCTCGCCCTGATACAGCAGGTGTATGAGGTGACGCACAACGCAGCCGTTGCATTATCCGCCCTAGCACCACGTGCTCACATCGCGACGCCGGCTGAGCCGCTTAGATCTAACGTCCAGCAGCCCTTACCTGATCAGAGCGCTAGTTATCAGAGCAATGACTTGCTATCCAGCCAAGAGGCCGAGTCGCTGCAATCAGCACCTGGTATTGGACAACAGATGGCCTCCTCGGGCTTTGGTAACGGTGCTACTCCGACAGGAGAGAGATTTTCCCCATTCCAGCCGTCTTTTAACGGCACGCTTCCCAAAGGCGGCTTTGGTCAAGCGCCAGGACGAAGGAACTGATAGGGGCTGGAAGGGTTGGATGGAGGAGGCGGAGGGTGCAGGGCAGATAGTTACTCTGCCATGTAGTTAGCATGAATGTAAAGGTTTCCGGGTAACGAATGTTGTTCTTTTCAGGCACATGTGGAGAACACATGGTGGACAACATCTCATGTACGTGAATAACAGTCCCATGACCTTGATCACGATAGCTACCGCCCATCTAACCACGCTCCTCCCCCAAACTCCACCCTACCATCTCCATCGTCCGCTTCACGTCCGCCCCAAAAACCAAATATCATACCTCCCCGTATAATTAGGCCCCGTATGTGTAAGTGCAGGCCTTGGAAACTCCAACCCAACCCACTGCTGCCAATTCGACCATCTCACCCCGCACCCCAACCTAAACACGAAATTCCCTGGAAAAGGCTGCGGCTCAAACGCATGGTCCGACCACGTCTCAGCCATCTCGTCCAGAACCCTATCGATATCGTACCAAGCGCTGTAGTATCCGGAAGTGGTTTCTACCCGTTTGCGAGCTATTTCGTAGGAGAAGCCTGTGATGGGGACTTTGGATGTGTCGTTGGATATCTTTGGGTCTATGGCATGGAGGAATGTCTGGATTGAGGTGTTGGGGTGTTGGGTGGCGAATGTTACAAGCTGGGCCATACATGGGTCGAAGATGTCCGTTGAGAAAGGACTCTGTCGGTATGCGATGCGCTCGTGGACGTGGATGCGGCGGATGCCGTTGAGCTGCTCGGGTCTGGAGCCAGCAATGTATCCTGCACATATGCTAGAAGCGGATTCGGGGGTGTCTTTGCGGAGAGGGAAGATCAATTCCGGACAGCGGGTCGGCGGTAGAGCTGATGTCTCCTCGTAGAGTTGTTTACAGACGAATTTCATTTGGTTTAGGTCCATCCGCAGTTTTGTCGTCGGGTCTTCGAAGATCAGACGCTGATGTAAAGCTCCATCTTTGAGATATGGTGCCATGAGGATAGCCTCGTCCGTTTCGAGAACGTGAGCGTAGACAATGTTGCGGAGCTCCCCTGGCAGTGCGAACAGCCGGAACGGGCCTGGCGACTCATCGTAGGAGTTCTTAGGTTGGCCTGGTGAAGCAGTTCCTGTTTGGGTTGCTGATGACACTGCAACATTCGACTGAAAGGGTGTATGTTGGGCTGGAGAGCTCGTGACAAAAGGATAGCCAGCATACTCAAACAATGAGGTCAGCACGGGCCGAAATACACGCAGTAGTAGAGAGCTCATGACTGTCAGACGTTGAAGTGGTGGGTTGAGAGGGAATATGCTTTGTCTTGCTGAGTGTAAGGATTATGAATCTCTGGAGTGCTCTGTAGAAAGCATCCAAGCCTTCTTCTATGCGCACGAGCTCTGGAAAGGTCGGCGTACTTCTAGGCGGCAACAAATGTTTGATGTCAGCGTCCGTTAACTGCAGTCACATCACCAAATCACCAGGATTCACTCCCTCATCATTCGCCACAATCCCGACCTCTCTCTTGAACCGTGACAGCCAGTTCGGGAAATCTGCAGGAGTCTGGTTCCACGGGTCGTCGCCATCATACATAATCCATCGTGCTTGATGCTGTATCTCCTCATCGGAAGGGACATGGCAATTCGGATTCTTCGGTGAAAGCGTCGATGCCGCCCATCTCCGCATGTCGCTGTCAAAGATCCGGTAGAAGTTGGTGTCGTCGGGTAGCAACGATCGCAAACGACCGTACATGTCCGTTTGCGCTGTAGATTCGGGTGAGACTATGGGCTCTTCCGAGAAAGTGGGAAGCGTAGTGAAGTAGTCGTGGGTTTGCTTGGATGGACTTGCAGTCCCGAGAGCGGAAGTGGATGCTTCTTTTGAAGGCGAGGCTGGCCACGAGAGGTCTAGTAATTCGCCCAAGCCATGATCTGTCGGAATGTTGGTGGAAACAACATCAGAGATACCAGCGCGTTGCTTGAAGAGTGATATCCAATTCGTGCCCGAGTAGATCCCTTTGACGATCCAATTGGCGAAGACATCGGATGGCGTACTAGACTCTTGCTCCATGCGTCGAACAATCTGACATGCTTCATGATGCAGTTGCGCATCGTCCAGTGCCTCACCCGTCGCCACGCGCTGAGTCACGAAACCACGAAGCTGCGCCTCTAGCGGACATTGCTCGAAGAGATGATCCTTGGCATTGATACGCAACGGAAAATGTCGGCTCTCGCGGGAAGATCGAACGGGCTGGAATCTCGCGTGTTCAGTCAGCTCATGTGATGACATCATCAGGTCTCGTAGCCATGAGACTTCGTGAAGATGGTTTGTGTCTGGACCGTGCATGACGGAAGTAGTCTCGGCTGCGAAGATGATGCGGCAGGCTTCTAGCTGCATCGCGTCATTGTCTGGCAAGTACCCATGTTTGTCAAAATATCGCTGGATGAAGAACTCGATTTCGACTTTGAGCAGTTCATATGCGTTTGGTGGTGTACCCCAGGATGGGTCGCTACCTTTCATGGGGATGAGAGTACCTCTTTCCCAATCGATGAGATCTGAAAGATGTCAGCATTCATACACCCTCAATGAGCAAGCCAAGGTCATCGTACCAGGAGGAATAGCAGTCTCGACCAACGGTATAACGGACGCATCAAACCCCCAATCACCTTGCCAACTGGCCATCGTAACACCAGACTTGAAATGGTCGGCAAGATGATCGGTCCTTTCCAGCCACGTACTCATCGTCGTACCGCAAAACCCGCATCTTGACCTTACATCAGGTATAGGCAGCATCCAGCGCGCCATCGACCACTCGGAGAACTCGACGCCGTGCACCAAGCGCAAATGCTGAACTAGATGATCTTTCCGGTGGAAGGTGCGTTCCTGTAAGCTCCTTTCCTGACACGCCGAGTAGTGGTGCGCTTCGATATGCTTGTCATCTGGTCGTACCTCGCCGCAGAAGACGCAGCATTGCTCCCCGATCGACTCCTTGGTAGTACGAGAGCCTTGGAGTGCGCAGATCCATCTCTCCAGCGGTAGATGAAGTGACTTCTCGTGACGTTGCCAATCGTACTTAGTCTTGAAGACCTCGGTGCAAAACGTGCATTGGTACGGCATGCCGATGGGTGCAATTTTCTCCGTGTCGAGACGGCGGCGTCGGGTGGTCCGCTTCTTGCGCGGTGCGCGGCGTACTTTGAGGGACGTTTGCGAGCCTGATGAGCAATGACCCGAGAACTCACTCGATTGAGAGGTTCTTGCACTGCTTGCCGAGGACATGGCGTAAGGTGATTGCCAGGGTTGATGATACGCGAAGTCTCCAGCATCTTCATCTACTTACAGTCAGCATTACAACCTCGTAGGATAGTCAGTCACTTACGCGAAGTAGAAGCCATCGCACGCGCAATGTCGCCAACAGCAGCAGGTTCATGCTCCGGCGGCGATTCCACCCAACGCTGCATAGGGTCTTTGTGATTGGACGCCATTCTAACAGCTGGAGTCCCAGGTCTTGGGATGATATCAACCGGAGAAGTGGGCGAGTTCTTGACTTGCGGTGAAGTTGGACGGACACTTTGCACCTTGCCACGCCGACGAGCATTCGCGAACCAATTCGTAAGCTGTGCTTTGTTCAATCCTGTGCAGTCTTGAAGAGCCATCATCTCGCCCTCACTAGGATAGGGATGCTTTTGATGAACAGTAAGCCAGTCTTTGAGTGTACGGATGACTTCTCGTGAGAAGCGACTGCCAAGCTTAGGTCTGGATATCGATGCGCTTGGCGGGAATGGTGACGAAGAGGCGGTGGAATGATTCGAAAGATCAAGAAGTGACGGATCCATCATCCAGGTCTCACTGTATTGAGAAGACGCCGCGTTTGAGGCCGCCAGTGCTTCGGAGAGGCCGGCGAAGCTGCCATCGTCTAGGGCGTGGTCTGAGGCGAACTGGCTATTCTGAAAGGCGAAGAAGGCATCGAGATCAGCTGGGCTGTCCATGTCGATGGTTACTCAAACGTCGCGAAACATGGAGAGAAAGTTTGCGGGGTAGGAGGGTTGGTTCACTGGGACGCGCTAAGTCGTGTTCGTGCTAACCGAAGAAGGGAAAGCGTGCATGTCAAGTACGCCTTACAGACACGCTTACCGGGCCAGAATCCTCTCAAGTCACGACAACGTAGGGAAAAGCTGAATGGGTTTGCAGCCTACCTCGATAAAAAAACATGCAAACTAGGTGACCCAATGTCGACGTAGGCTCTACACCCATCTCACACAGGGACAAAACGGAGGGAACGACATTCCATTCCTCTACTTATCCAACTACCTGGTATCCAAAGAAGCTACTTTCGCTGGCACATCCCATCCGCAAGACGACTCGCAGTCAGCCAAAAGCCTACCACTGATACGTCTCACACTTGACGCTCTTGAACCTATCCTCCACACCCAAGTCATCAACCCACTGCTCTCCACCCCTTGAATCAATGCTCATGGGCGACTTGTCCTCTCCACCTCCACAGCCAAAGTCGCGGTACCACTTACAGTACGCGCCGCCATACTGAATAATCGAGACCGGGCCCTGATCCGCAGGAGCAAAGTTGGCGCACTGCTGAATAGCGTTGATGGCGTTGTCGGTGCAGAACTGGTAGTGCGCTTGGTGGCAGACTGTTGTTGAGCCTGGGGGCCAGTCGCGCTTGGTGACCTCGTTCGCAGTCACCTTAGAAGCTTGACACTCCACGCTCGCAACCAAGTTGGTCTTGACCCCAAACGTAGTGTGATCCGTGGGAGTCGATACGTACTGCCACGCTTCGTGCGAGCAGCCGGCTTCAAGGTAATACTTGCACCATGTACCCTTGGCTTGCATGATGAACTGGGACTTATGGGCGACCTGGGCCGGAAAATTCGTGCATTTATTTTGGGCGTTGATGTACCAGCAGCCGGAGGCATGGTCTTCGGAGCAGGCGAACACTTCGCCTACCCGGATGGCTCTAGGGAGTGTCCATGCGGGTGGCGAGTCCGTGGGGAGAGAGTCGCGCTTGCTGATATGGTTGGCGTAGATGCGCGAGTCAATGTTGGTGATCTTTTCGATACGATGGTCGTGGGGAATGACTTCCATCTCAGATGTCACACCGGGACCTCCGCACACCACACTCGCGAGATCCTTGAAGTAGGTCCCAATAAATGCACTCGGATTGTCTGGCGCCGATGTGTGATGGAAAACCTCATCACTATCCTTGCACCCAGGCTTGTTGTAGTACCAACAATACGACCCCTTAGCCTGCTCGAGGATCATGACGTTGTGCGCGGTGTTCGAAGGGAATTCTAAGCAATCGTTGAGTGCATCCATGATCCAGCAGCTATCGGTTTGCTCATACGAGCAGGTGAAAAGGCTGCCGACTGCGAGGTCTACGGGGCTGTACCCGTCCCTGGGGTATTCGGTCTGGGTAATTGTCATGTCGGTAGCTGGATCCGGTGTGTTGCCTGTCGAGGCCGCGGAAGTGATGAGAGCTACATTGGACGGTGAAACTTCCTCTCGCGCAATGATCTCGGCGTGGGGCTGTGTATACACACGCATACAAATGACGTGAGTAAGCCTCTTGCCAATCTCCGAGGGCACATCGTGGACACCACCACCCCCCTGGCCCGACGCAACAAGGAAAATGGGGCTCTTGGATACATCGCAGCCGTCCTTGTAGAACGAGCAGGAGACGTTCTGGGGGACAGCCACAGCGAAGAGATCATGCGCAACAGAGTCGCCAAGCGGGATGCACTTCTTGGCGTCCCAATCGTTGATACCAAGCTGGGAGGTGCTGCTGAAGAAAAAGGCCATGTATCCAATGTCAGCCATCGTCTCTAGTGCTTCTGGCGTAAAGATTGCAGCTTGGGGCTCAGTACGCATGCACATGAAATGAGTAAGCTGCTTGCCAACGTCGGAAGGCACTTTAGAAGCAACATCCCCCTTGTTCGAGTGAAGCTGGTACAGAGGACCCTTGGCTACATTGCAGCTGTCCTTCCAGAACCTGCAGAGGACGTTTTCGTGTACGGCCACGGCGAAAAGATCATTCGCAATGGAGTCGCCAAGTGGGATGCAGGTATTGGCGTCTTCATCTTTAATACCAAACATGGCAGTCTTGCTGAATACCCTGGCAATTTCTGGACCATCCAAGTGTAGAGTCGTCAGTGCCGTGGCGTCGACAATGGGTGTAGTAACCGCCTGCGCATTGATAGTGGGTGAAGTTTCCGCTCGCGCATCGATAACCAGTGTAGTAGCCGCCCACGCATCGATTTCAGCATCAAGAGTATGCTTCTTCCCGCAAGCGACGTGCGAGATGTCGCGGCCAGTATACCCCGGGATATCCACATGCAAGGTACCGGGCCCAGAATTCGAAGCGCGGAAAATCGGGAACTTGGCTATATTGCAGGCATTGGTGTAAAACACGCAGAGAATACCGGCTTCTAGCTGTACTCCGACAACGTCATTAGCCACATGCTTGCTGAGCGCAACGCAGTCCGCATCGTTGTCGTCATAGATGTACAAGTCGGCTGTATCGCCGAAGACTCGGGCCATCTTCGTCTTCTGGGCTGTTGTTTCGAGAGATGTATCATCCGCTCGCGCTTCGACGTTGGCCCAACCGTCTTTCTTCCCGCAAAGGACGTGGGTGATCTTCTTGCCAACATCCGCTGGCACGTCTCGAGTAGTGAACTGCTCCTTATCGGTCGAAACGCTGAAGACGGGGTATTTGGCTAGGGTGCAATCGTTGTCGTAGAACACACAGAGAGTGTGAGCTCCAACAGTTACCTTGGTAACATCACGGGAAACATAGTCTCCTAACGTAACGCAGGCTCGGCTGTCGTGGACAGACGTGTAGCTTGTGCTGCTGAAAATTTGTGCAAGGGTTCCCGAAGATGCCGTTGTAGCATCCGCTCGTGTCTCCATCGCATCATGGTGTTTGAATCCGCAAATGACGTGGGTAATCTCCTTGGAAGCATCTGCTGGCACGTTTCGACTGAAGTACCCCTCCGTGGTCGAAGCGGTGAAGACGGGGTCTTTGGCTCGACTGCAAGCGTTGTTGTAGAACACGCAGAAAGTGTGAGCTCCCATTTCTACCTTGGTAACATCATGGGACATATCGTCTTTGAACCGAACGCAGGCTTTGTCGTTGTCGCTGAGAACAGCCATGTTGCTTGTGCTGCTGTAGATCCTCGCTATGATTGTTGCTGAAGCGGCCGCCGGGCTCGCTTCAAGAGATGTAGCATCCGCTCGCGCCTCGATCTCAGTGCGAGGAGCCTGGTGTTCACAGATAACGTGAGTAATCCTCTTGCCAAGGTCAGATGGTACCGGTTCATCGACATAGTGATCGGCTCCGACGACGAGAAGAGGGTCATTCAGACAACCGTACTCGGAGAACCTGCAGGCAATGTTACCAATGACAGCCGCGCGGGTGACGTGGTAAGCCGTTGTAGAGTTGAGTTTGATGCAGTAATTGATGTAGTTCTCCCGGACGAGAAGAGGTCCACCGTTTTCGGCAAAGACAGTCGCGACGGTCCGCAAGTTGGCGTTCGTAGTCGTCTCGGTCGCGCTTTCGATCGCGATAGACGTCGCTTCGAGAGAAATAGCATCGGCTCGCGCATCGATCTCATTGTGGGGGGCATTCGAAGGCCCACAGACAGCGTGAGTGAGTTTCTTGCTGACATCCAAAGGCACAGCGATCCTGGTATAGGGGGTCTCGCTCTTTGCAATGAAGAGAGGCTTGATACCGCAGCCGCTCTCGTAGAACCTGCAGAGGGTATGGTCGACTAAGGCTATGTACGTCAAATGACGAGAGACCCCGTCGCGGAGTTTGATGCAGAGCCCAGCGAAGTTCTCTTGATACTCGAAGGTGTGGCCGGTGTCGCTGATGAGTCGTGCGATGGGCCCCGACGGTTCTTCGGCCGCGATAGATGGCGCCTCGAGAGACGTATCTGCCTCTCGAGCTTCGATCCCAGGAACGTCGCTCCGCCGGTGGTCGCCCTTATAACACTGAACATACTTGAACCTAGTCCCGTACTTCGCATCGATATTGAAAATGTGTTGCTTATTCAGAGTTTGAGCGATGTAGATGGGTTCGCCCTTGCAGTCCAAGTGGGGGTCATTGTAGAACCTACACATCAGACCTGAATCTTGAAGGAAGGAATCGACGTTATGCGTGACACCTGCGTTTAGCTCCAGGCAGGCACCCAAGAGCTTATTGGTCATGAGTTGGCCTGCGCCATGGCCGCAGACAACCAAGTATTGATTATCCGGGCCCGGGTTCACGCAGGCCCAGTCTGGTGAAACGTCGGCGTCTGGAGAGGCGTCGGTGTCTGGAGCGACTACGATTTCCAGAGCGACCAAAACCTCCAAAGAGGAAGAAGCATCGACCTCTCGAGCTTCAATCCCACCAGTCTGGTACCACGTATCGTCCCAGCGACACCTCACATGCTTGATCCAAGTTCCCCACTTCGAATCAATATCGAAACGATATTGTTCTTCCCGTGTCGTGGAGTGGAAAATCTGTTTGCCGGAGCATCCGTTGCTACTGTCGTAGAAGTCGCAGGTCATATTCGCGTCTTGTAGGAAACTGTCGACGTGAAGCGCAACTGGGTCTGCCAGCCTCATACAGTCTGTCTTGTGAATTTCCGGGATCTGTTGGGCGTAGGCTTGAGAGCAGACTAGCAGTACCTGGTAGGCTATGCCTGGGAGAGGTTCCTGGCAGGCCCAGGCTTTCTTTGCGAATTTGGCGTCGATGATTTTCTCCGGTGACTCGGAAGGAGCATCGGCCTCTCGAGCTTCAATCTCACCAACGTCCCTGCGCCACTGACCAATCGTGCACATGACATACTTGATCCGCTTTCCAACCTCAGGATCAATCGTAAAGCTCTCCTCTTTCTCGTAAGTAATGGAGGTCCCTTCGATGTTGCCATTGCACGCGTTGCTGTCGTCGTAGTACTTGCACTGAATGCGCGCATTCTGAGTCATAGTTTCGACGTGGTACCCAACGTTATCGGTCAGCGACACACACTGGTTCATCCACCCGTTGGGGATGTTATTGGCATTACCACCGCCGCAGATAGACAGGAAGTAGTGGCTCGCATCGGGGTTCATACAGGCGGAGGAAGATGCAACACCCCTGCGCCACTCACCCTTCTGGCACTTAACATACTTGAGCTTGTTTCCGACCTGGGGTGGATACGAAAAGATCTCGATGTCCTTTGAAGTATTGTCGGAGTACGCTTCAAAGTTGCCATCGCACTCGTTACTGTCGTCGTAATACTTGCACATGATGTGCGCGTTCTGAATAACAGTGCCGACGTGTTGCCCAACGGTATCGGACAGCCGCACACACGCGTTCATCCAATTGTTGGGGATCCAGTTGGCGTTGCCACCGCCGCAGACGATCAAGAAGTAGTAGTCCGATCCGGGGTTCATACAGGGGGATGGGGACCAAGATGAAGTGTCTTCGGGTTGGGTGGGGTTGAGGTCATGGAGAGGAAGAGCGTCATCTGCCTCGGCGTGCTTGATGTCTTCTGCTTCCAGGACCGGAGAAGCATCATTAGCCCTCACCTCAAGCCCACCACTGCCTGATAAAGTCGGCAATGCACCACACTGAACATACTTGATCCTCTTCCCAAGATGCTCGGGGATTTGTTCATGATGCTGGAACGTAGCGACGAGAAAGTCGCTGTTGCAGAGGTCGCTGTCATCGTAGAATTTACACATGAGCTCAGGGACCTGAGCCGTGGAAGTGACCTCGTACGCAACGCCGCCAGTGAGTACACCGCAGACGCCAGGCCAGGTGTTGGGGATGGTGGAAGCGGAGCCGTGGCTGCCGCAGATGGTCATGAGCCACTGGTTGGCGGGCTCAGCCATGTTGCAGCGGGGAAGGAAGTCGGGTGTGGCGATCGAGGAAGGCTGGGAAGTCGCGATGAGGGAGACGGCAGTGGCCTCGGGAGTAGGAGCGGCGAAGGCAAGGCCGGCGAGACCGAGCAAGCCAACGACGAGATAGTGAGCGCGCATGATGACTGCCACACACAATGTTAGAAATCTCACTTTTCTCCGCGAATAATGAGGTTACCCACCTTCGTCCAGCCAATCGCTCTTGACAGACCGACGCGGTCGCTAGCGAAGCGGATAGATGTAGTAGCGGTTGTAGAGCTTCCGCGCAAATGATGGGGAGGCGTTCGCAGCCAGTAAGAGAGGATGAGTAGAATTGAGAAGGGTAGTAGGTGGGTGGAAGAGAGAAGACAGGAGGTGACGGGCGGAGGACTTTATCCCTAGTAAGAGAGCGGTGGGAAGGCGCTCGAAGGCCAGGCGGGCGACAAACGGAGACCCAGTCAGTGAGGGGTGGGCGGGAGAGAGAGATAGTAGAAGGTGACGGGTGGGGGTTTTGTCAATAGTAGGGGAAGCGGTGGAAAAGCGCTCGCTGGACGCCAAGGCCTGGTGGGCGTGTGGACAAACGGAGCCCCAGCGAGTGAAAAGTAAGAGAAGCGAGACCCTGACGAACGAAGAGGAAAACGAGGTGTGCTTGGCCGGATGTGGCGTTTTGTATTAAGGCGCAAAGCGCATGGTGCGAGGTGCAAGGTGCGAGGTGCGAGGTATCGCAATTGGAATGCGGCGGTTGACCGTAATCTCATACTACCCTCAATGTTGGTTCCCGAGTCCCAGTGAGAATGCCCCATCATTTCGATCCGCGCTACCCCAAAGGTCACGGTCGCGGTCGATGTCGTACTGCCGTCAATCGAAGACATCCTAGCATGGCTACCTTACCCATCCATTCCTCACCACTCTACGGGTCAAGATCGCGATTAATGTTATACTGGCGGTACCCAAACCCATCCATCGTAACCCAATGCCCCAGCGCCTCCATCTCAGCCCACACCTTGGGATAATGCTGCTTGATCCAAGCCTCGACGCGAGTTTGCCTCTCAATATTAGCCGTGCAGTTGAACCAACTACCCAGACTAATCGATCGTTAGCAAAGTCCAAGTAAAATCGACGGGTACAATATGTGAGAGAAGTCAAACGTACATCTGCAAATCAGGAGTAAACCCATACTCCTCCTCCACAGATTCCACCAGCGCCAACGCCTCATCATGATTATGATTCCGCGCAACAGCACACATATACGCTGTCCAGATATTCTTGTCAATCTCGACGTCCTGGTCTTTCAAGCGCTTCCAGATGGACTTTGCGTGTTCGGAGCCAAAGTGCATGCCTTCGCTTGACCGGAACGCGATGGCGAGACTGTTGTATGTGGGACCTTCTTTGGAATCGCAGATCTCGCGCCAGAAGGAAAGGGCTTTGCGGTTCTCGCCGGTGGCGGCGTATGCAAGCATTAGCGAGTTGCGGAGTTTGGTGTCCATCTCTACGTTCAGGTCCAGTTTCAGTTGGTTGTGTGCGAGTTCGAGGGACTCGGCATCTTGGCAGCGGGCGAAGCCAGTGAAGGCTGCGACGTAGACGTCTCTTGTTGCTGTGTGAGTTGGGCTGACGTGGTTGCGCATGTGGAAAAAGACATGGCAGGCCATGTCGGAACGGTTCCTGGCGAAGAAGCCGTTCATGATTGGTATCCGGTCCTCTCGAGGTGTTTCGACGAACACGTTGCGCAAGATTTGGTAACCGTCCCAGGCATCTGCGGTGCTAGTCTCACCATCAAGAATGAACATGGAAAGCGCCTTTTGGATGATCGTTCGCTGTTCTGGTGAGTATTGATGTGCGTGTACCTGAAGGAGATCCATGGCGTCGTGGATCTCGCCCCTCCGAAGATGCAATAGCGTCAGTGCTGCGACAGTCTCCGGTGCGAAGCTGGCCTTACGCTCGTGCAGGTCGTCCACCATGGCCATTAACTCATCGAAATGATGCTGCTTGGACACACAGAGGGCTTGAATCAGTTCATTGACGACTGCGACACTGCGCTCATCTCCTGAGAAACTACCCTGCAGGTTGAAGTAAGCAGATCTGGCTCCATCGAGATCGCCAACGGAGATACGGTATTGCATCTGCATCGTATAGGTCGTCTCGTCAGGATGAATACCGAACTTCTCTCCCAGGACAATATAGCGCTCCGCCAGGTAGGGGTCTTGCTTAGACATGCAGTGCTCTACCAACGCGTTGATGGTCTCGGTGTCTGGGCGGATTACAGGGACTTTAGGATCCTTCTGCCGTGCCTCGTCATTTCTGCGGATCAGCACGTTGATCATCCGAGCGATCTCATCAGGGCCCTTGCCGATAGCAGCAGACCACAGAAAGATTGCATCCCACTCAGGTTTCGAAGGCATATCAACCTTGAGCATGTTCGCTACCACCTGCTGACCATAGCTAAGATCGCCTGCAGCGGCGCAGGCTTTCAGCAGAGCAGAACTGGTGCCGCCTGATGGCTGCGTAACCTGATGGCCCACTTTGGTGTGAACGGGTTGCGAGTACCAAGATTTGGCCTTTTCCAGGTCTCCACGCTCAGCGTAGAATGCTACGAGTTTATTTTGCGCGGGCCTGGTTAATGGAACCGAGGCGTCTGTGAAAGCATCCACTGTTTTCGACACCTCAGTCAGGTCGTTTTCCTGGATGACTCCTCCAAGCGCTGTGCTCCAGGTAGCGACTACGGCGCCACGTATCAAGGCATTCGCTGTCTTGTCGTATCTGAACGCACTAACCGCGATATCTCTTGCTTCAGTAGCCGCGCCGAAAGCGGATAGAACTTGGATACGCCTAGTGTCGATGTACATCTTAAAGGGGACCTTCAATTCCTTCGTCTTCTTCTCTCCAGCTTTTTCGGGCTCTTGTTCCTCGGATTTCGCCAGTTCGTCGACAACGAGCTGCCCAAAGACCATATGCGCTTTCCCTAGAATCTCCGGCCGCTTCGACGTGTCCAGTAGTTTCTCCAGGATGTTATCGAGATCTTGCCGATATAGCCATTGCTTCCCGTCTTCTCTTGGGTTCTCCAGGAGATAGGTGAGGGCCTCATGCGCGATCACCACATGCCAATCCTCAAACGTGCCTTTTCTTTGCGCAAAGAATTCCTTAATCGCATCCGCGACATCCTTCGGTGCCGGCGGTCTCAGATCATTCGCCCGCTTATACGACACCTCAGCCATTGTATTCAGACCCGGTGGCGCCTCCGCAGGCTTGAGCTTCCGTTTTTGCTTGAACAGCTCCCCGAAGAAAGTCCGCCGTTGCGTCTGGGGCAGTAATCGGGCGCCATGTTGGGTGATGACGCGGGGTCGGACGGCTCGGTAGCGGCATCCACGATATAGCAGAGGCTCGTTGGCGATGATGTTGCGGAAGACGAGGCGGGTCAAGTGCGAGGGCATGGCGGCGGCGACGTTCGCTAAGCGCAGGACAAAAGTGTGGTGACGTAGGTTTGGCGTGCAATTGGCGCACGGTGGAAGGGGTATCTAGGCGAAGAAGGCGTCCATGGGGCGGAGGAAGGCGCACAAACGGTATATACACGAAGGAGACGAGATGGAAGCGGGATCCAGTGGCGGCGACGGAGAGTGAGGGGAGCAATTGCGGGAGCTCCTGCCTGCTGTGAAATCCAATTGCGCTAAGAAAGTCAACTTCCGACCGCCGAGGCCGCATCTCGAAAAGTCACGACGGCAGCGACGACGACGCCAACACCACCACAGCCACCAACATGTCGATAACACGGTTACCACTGCGGCCACTGCCATCCATAAGCACGACATGCATGCGCTACTTCTCTACTGGGTCCCATAAGCAAGGTGCGCCCAATCCCTCTCCCATACACACTACCCCATCTTCCAACGGCCCTCCTCTCACACCTCCAACCCTCTAACCGCCCCCCAGGCCCCCAAGACGGCATCCTCGACATCCTCGCCAGCAGCACCGCCGCCGCCCGCCCACCTCCAAACACAAACACCACGCGCCCGCGCACCGGCCCCTCCCTCACAGGCATGGCCTCTTCCATGGGCCTCTCCGCCAACATGCCACGCGAAGTCCTCGAATCCGACCGCGCCGCCCAATACCAACGGCAAATCTACCGAAAATGGCAGCCAGGCGACGTCTACGCCCCCCACGACCTCTCCGGCACCGAGCAAAAGAAGTGGAAGTACGGGCGCAAGAAGCCGCAGCAAGACGCCTTTGATGTGCTGGGCATAAATCCGATTTTGGAGTATAAGAACTTTACCATGATGAGCGAGTATATGACGGAGATGGGGAGGGTTAAGCATAGCAAGGATACGGGGCTTAGGCCGAAGAATCAGAGGAAGGTTGCTAAGGCAATTCGGAGGGCGATTGGGTTGGGACTGATGCCGAGTGTGCATCGGCATCCGTTGGTGTTGAAGAAGAGTAGTCCATCGAGGTTTTTGTAGGAGGGGGGTTGTTTGATAGAGGGAAATCTGATGTGTATGTTTGACATTTCAAGACGAATGATGGGAATGTGGTATTCAAGAAGCTCATCTTCATCCGCAGTGGAAGAGATCAACCAGCTATACGAAACCATAAGATGCTAAACGGCCAGCGCGAAGAGCAATCCTCTCCCCACCCGAACTAATACCCCGTCTCATTTCTCCCCTGCTTCTCAATCCACATACTTATCATCTTCTGCTGCGCATGCACAATCTCCATCGCATAATCCTCATCATAAAGATCATACCACCCCGGACTCTCATGCGGCGGATCCCCCGCCCAAACCATCCCAAACTCATTCGCCTTCTGCGTCTCCGGTCTCCAGATCCCGCCATACGCCCACGGACTCGTCCCGATATACGCACCCCCATTCCTGAACTCATCCATAACAGCCCCGATAATCGTTGTGAAATAGGCGTCCTTGTGCGTCGTGCTCGCGTCACTCAGGTAGGGGTATTCCTTATCTTCATTCACCCAGTTATCGCGCGCCATGCCGAATTCCTCCAGGAAAACTGGTTTCCCAATGTCCATGGCCCATTGACTGCTGTTCTTCATGAAGTCACGTGCGAAGTCCTGGGCAGCGACTAGATTCGCGTCGCTGGCGTTGTACATGTCATACACGCCCCAGTTCTGGACCCAGCAGTGGGTTGTCGCGTAGTCGACGGTGGAGAAGTTGTGCACGCGCTTGAAGTAGTATTCGCCTTGCTTGCTTTCCAGCCCGACGCTGATGAGCTGCTTGGGGGCTAGCGACCGGATGTAGGCGGAGATGCGGTCGACCCAGGGGAAGAGCAGGTCGGCGGGGTTTGGCTCGAGGAAGATGTTGTAGGGGCCTGTGTAGCCGAGTTGGTCCGAGGGTTGGGGTTCGTTGGCGAGTTGCCAGGTCATTATTGTTGGGTCTTCGGTGTAGAGGCGGCCTGTGATGGTGTTGCGGCGACTCATGACGGTCTTGATGTGGTCTTTGTACCATTGCTCGGCCTGCGTGTTGTTGTAGATCAGGTTGGCGAAGGAAGTAAACTCGTCGTATGGCGCTGCGTTGACGCCTTCGACAGTGTAGTTTCCCCATCCCGTGCCAGGTCTCTCGCGCTGGGGTGGTGCAGTCTGGTTCCAGCTTGACGGGTACGGGATCGCGGTGTTGTTGTTTGCCCATGATACGTACTGGGCAAATCCACCGCTCCACTGCCACTCGTTGTTGAGCGTCATGGTGGCGCGCATGCCGCGTTTTGACATCTCAGCAAGACAGATATCGAGACCTTCAAAGACGTCCTCGTTGTACTGGCCAGGTGACTCCATGAGTGCTGGATTCATCCTGAAGGGCTGGGGCGTTGGAGCGCCCTCAGAGGCAGCCATGATGCGGAGGTGGTTTATGCCCTTTGCAGCCATTTGATCGAGCTCTGTAACCAGGCGCGAGTAGTTGCCGCCTGCCTTAGGACCTGCCGCAAGATTCATGCACGCCCAGTAGTTGATGCCTAAGAATGTTCAGCGTACGACTTCTAGGGGAGAAGAGAATATTCTTACCAGTAAGATAGTACAATCCATCGCCATTATACAATCTCAGCCCATCCACATAAACAAAGTCGCCGTCCGCAATCGCACTCCCATTATGGCTCCCACCCCCTCTCGGAAGCACAGAGCCCGCAGCCAACGAGGCGAACAACACCTGAGTCGCGACTTTCATCTCGACAACCCAAAGATAAGAATATGGCTTGAACAAGCCATTACCGCAGGCTCACATCAAAGCTTATATATCCATCCGCCCATCCCGAAGCCGCGGTCCGACTATGCATACTACGTCCTCAAGTGCCGGTTGACATCATATGCGGAGCAAGAACACCCCGACGATGCTACCTTCTCCATCGGAGTGGAGATCGTCGCTGTGCGATTGAGCGAGGTGTGGTAGTTCTTCCGGAAGCCATTGCACGATTATCGACACACGCGTATAGAATGGTCGTGACGAAACGGTTCGGAGTGTGGATCTCCGTTGTAGCGTTGGAGTAGTGTGCTGATGGATGTGGGTCGCTGGCGTTGGAGGCAGTTGCCAAGCCCCGAGGTGCCGACGTCTGTTAAAAATCCGTGCGCAAGCTATTGACCTCGATACCTTTGGCGCTGGCGCCGTGGTCCCACGTGTAATTCCACTCCGGCTGCCACGACGAATACTTCAACTCTCACGACCAAGCCTCCACCATGGACGACGACGAAAACGACGAGATCGCAGCGGCCATGGGCTTCGCCTCCTTCGGCGGAACAAAGAAACGCAAATTCGACCACACCGCCTCGCCAAAAGCTGGTCCTGATGCGAGCGGCGCCAACTCCACCAAACTGGGTGTCAGATCGAAGAAAGTTACCAACGAAGACGAGATCAACCTCGACGCCGCTGTTTCCGACGCTGTATCCGACTTCACAAACCCCACGCCACAACCCCACAACAACGCGCCGGCTAAAGCAACGAAGAGCCAACCCGCCGACTCCGGTCTGGCTGCTTTTCTAGCTCGCGGCCAGAACCTACCCGAGAAACCGGCTGCCACCGAGAGCAGCACTCCAAACCTTGCGATGTCTGGCGACCCGCCCGCGGCAGAGATGGTATCATTCGGCGGTCCACCAATCTCCAAGGCTGAGTTGAATGCGCTGCGTCACGGCGTGAGAATGGAGAATGGAGATACGGCATACTTTCTACCGAGCTTCGTTGAGGATCCCTGGGCGAAGCTGGGGAGGGGTGGGAGTGGATGAGTGGGTCTATCATGGACTGTATGAACAGCGCTGTGGAATGGATATGGGAGAAAACGGGTTACGGTCACCATACAGTCTTCCTCACACGCCTTCCGGTATACCGCAATACCCCACATACATGCGCAAACAGCACGAACATCCCTCTCGTAATTAGCGATGCAAATGTAGCATTTCCTTATTCAACAAGAATACAGAAAATGCTACTCTTGCATCGCTAATTAAGAGAAGAGTACAGCGCAATATCTGCCTAGATCCCCAACCAGCAAGAACATCCTTCTCGTAATTAGCGATTCGGTGCTGGCATTTTTGGTATTCCTGTCGAATACATGAAATGCCACTTCCGAATCGCTGTTTAAGAGAAGAGCACAGCGCAATATCTACGTAGATCCCCAACCAGCAACAACATCCTTCTCGCAATTGGCGATGTAAACCCTCATTGTAGGTATTCAACAGGATACCTACAATGCGCGTTTACATCGCCAATTGAGAGAAGGATGAGGAACAGGTGTGGACTTCATTGGCAGTCAGGTAGTCATCAGCGCCGTGTCATCCTCTTCCTCTTGGACGCTGTCTGTTATAGCATAAGAGCGAGCGCTCAAGAGGAGGATGGGAAGGTGGTGATGATTGCCTGCCTGCCGTGTTGGGTGTTTGGTGTTGGACTGCAGGGGAGGGAATGGGGACTTGGAAGGCTGGTGGTCTTTTAAGTGGTGATGCAGAAATCTGGGAAATCAAATTTCTGCATCACCACTTAAAAGACTGTTTTATGTCATTTCCATGAGCAGTCCATCAACACGGCAACGTATTCGTGATCTTTGGTCATTGTGGAGGGCTGAGACGGATTTGAGAGTATGGTAGAGATTGAAAACAATACCAATTTAAGTTCTTGACTTTAGTCCCCGAAACGCCTCCGCACCTGGAGCGGCCGATAGTATCGTGAGTCGTGGTGCAGCCTCGCTCTCGCGTGGCTTGCGTCCAGAACGCGTCCACACGTGCTTTCCAGGGGTCGCGCCAATCACCCGCTGCGCTACTGGCTCATTCTCATCGACCTCATCGTGCGCAATGTCCTCTTCCACACGATGGCGTTTTAAACCTGTTTATAGTCTGATCTTCGCGACTGGCTAATCAATAACGTTTTGAGAGGCCAACCCGATGCGTGTGCTTGTGGCTTTTCGGAACGCCTGCGTAAGGCTATCGTGAGGTACGCGGGCAGCCACTTCGGCTCCAATCTTACAGCATAATCGCAATGTTGTGAGCACTTGCTCGCTAGCTAAAACGATAGGTATATAGCTATGTGGCTCACAGCTCTTATTGGGTCACTCGTCTCACTCTTTACGAGCACCTCACCAACAGTCATTCCCTCGCTCGTCGTCAATCTATCGCTCCTTCTAGTACAGCATAATTCTTAATCTCTCATTACACTCATCATGCGCTGGTCGATTCTCCTCTCTCTCTCAGCAGCGGTAACGCTTGCCGCTGGCTGTGCCATCAACCGCCCAGCAACTACCGCACCTCCCACGACACTAGCTACATCCACGTCCACAACGACAATGACACCCACATCCACAACGACAACGACATCCACATCCGCAACATCCGTCTGCACCCCCGCCGCACCAACCGTATCCTGCATCGCCTACCCTGGATGCCCCAAATTCACCACATCACTGTCCGACGCTTGCCCATCCAAAATCGACCAGTGCAAAGACAACTACTTCCTTCGCTGCAGATACCAGCCCGCCGCCGGCTCTCAACCTATCATTTCCTTCACTGACGTCACGGACGCGGACGTATGCCGTCAAGAGTGTGATAAGAGGGACTCCTGCTCTGCGATTTCGTTCGATAAGGCGGCGAAGAGCTGTGCGTTGTGGAAGTATGTCAATGGAACCATCCAGAAAGACGGGGGCATGACTCTTCTCAGGATTTGCAAGGATACCTGCGCTGGGCAGCCGGTCAAGAGGGGCGAGGATGAGAAGGGTGACAAGTCTGTAAAAATCGCGAAGTGGACGCAGGGTAAGCATAGGGGATCTAAGGATAAGGAATCTAAGGATAAGGGATCCAAGAATACTTAAAGGTATATCATCGATACACAATCCTAGTAGTTCCAAAGAAATCAACCTTCTATATCCCCCCATCCCATCTCCATCCCATCTCATCCCATACCCATCCCATTCCCATCCACCCTCTCCCTCCTCCCATCCCATCCTATCTCATCCCCCATTTCACCCTCCTCCTCCCCCTTCCCATACCCTCACCCTACGAAAAAGCAACCCACGCCCCAAACCCCCACGCCTCAACACTCAGCACAAACCCCGCAATCGCCATCCCACACCCGACTCTCTGGCTAAACTCCTTCCGTGTCAATTTCCCTTCCCCGGCACCGACTAGAATCCATGCTGCGGCTGCGAGAAGGCTGATGAGCAGGAGGATGCCCATGACGAGGAGAACGCGGGGGCGGGAGAGCGTGTATGTGAGGTGGAGCGTTGGGGGTTGTGGATTGCGTCGGGCCCAGGATATCCACGTGTAGTTCTTCCGTCCGGATTGGGGGGTTTTGTATAAAGCCAGTAAGTCGTCTGAGGAAGGTGTTGCAGGATGTCTGTTCTGAGTCGAACGAAGTGCAGGATGCACATCGCGATCCTCGTTGGCTTTTTCGCTGCCGTGATCCCATGTACTCCTTCTTTCAACACATATCCCACTCAGCGTCCTCGCGCTAAACGTCCTCCGTAACCAATTCCCCGCCAACTCGCGATTCGCAGCCCTCAGCGCCAAAGCGAAAGCCTCGTCGTCGAAGTCGGCGGAGCGCTCTTTCTTCATCATTCTAGAGCTGTGGCTGTGATCCATTCTCTTTTCGCTGTTGCAGTTGCTGATGCTGCTCTTGGTATAGCTGTGTTTCGGCGTCCAAGACGAGGGGAACGTTGGAATGACGACTCTGGCCACCTTCTCTTCCCTGCCCGATAACCCAGCCTGCTCTTCATCCGCATTACCGCACGTACACGCACACCTCCCCCGCCCCATACCCCACGTCCACCTCCTCAACCCAACCAGAACAACAACACCACCCTCCTCCATACTCACCCCTCCCCTCTCACCTCCACCTCCCCGTCCCCTCTCCTCAGCACTACCCCTCACAACCCCCTGCGCACTCTCATTCCTCTCCCTCCGACTCCTCATATCCCTCATATCAACTTCATCCCCATTTCCATTCCCCGTCATAAGCCCCAGAACCTCTTTCCCTTTCCGATCATCATACGGGCTCTTCGGCTCATCTCCAAACGGAAACGCAGCCGTGCAGCACGAGTTCAACCTCGTATAATCCTCCGTCGTGCGGTTCGAAAGCGAGAAGTTGAGGGCTGAGAGATGGGAATCCAGTATAGTACTAGCCTGTTTTTGCGGGATATAGCTAGGCTTCGGGATGAGGAGGTCATGACCTGTGTTGGTGGTTGCGGTGTTGGGGACGGAGGAGAAGGGGTTGGGTGATTTGAGGGCTGGGGAGTAGATTTGTGCGGTGCGGTGGCGGCTGGCTCTGTCGTCTTGGTCTTCTCCTGTTGACAAGGGGGAGAGGGTGACGTGTCGGTTGGCGGAGAAGGAGGTGGATTTGGGCCAGGAGGTTGAGGAGGCGGAGTGCAGATATGTGCGGCCTGCTGCGTTTGTCATGTCGCCGCTGACTCTCGGGTCTATACTCCGCGGGTCTGAACTCAGAGCTTCGAGAGCGCGCATGGTCATGACGTGGGCGTTGATGATGGAGTCGGCGAGGACGCTGTCGGAGGTGCTGTTTGACGACGCGGTTCTTCTGTGTTCTCTTCGAAACGTCGGACTTTGCGGTAGAGCGGTAAGTGTATCCTCTAGAGGTCCTGATGTAGAGAACGGTGCTGAATTGACCGATGCCATGAGCGGAGAGTTGGGCAAGGACATGTTGCTGCGTAACGACAGTCTCGGCGAATCGATACTGGATCTGATGGACCTGTTGTCCACCAGGCGCACATTGTCCTTGTTCAGACGTGTCAGAGACATCTTCCGTGCGTGATTGGTTCCTCGACCAGAAGCTCGCTCATCGCCGGTTCCGCTATCATCAGTTCCGGAACCCGAGACATCTGCAAGATCTGCGAGTCTGGGCAGCGAGGTGATGGTGCTGCGTTGTCTATTCCTTCCGCGCTGCGCATTCTCAATGTCGCCGTGGATGTCGTACGGAACGTCTCTCAGACCCGGCCCTTCGCTTGTAATCGGACTCTGTATCGTCTTGCTCATCCTGTCCTCCCATTCCGATTCCGAAGAGAAATCGTCGAAGAAGTCGGCACGGTGACCTAGCGCTTTCTGCATCGTTTCGCTGACGTCGGGATAGACTGATATTCGTCTCCTTTGTAAAGCTTCGACGACGCGCGGATATGCTGCCAAGGTAGGGGACAGTCTTTCGAAGGGGTGTTCGAGAAAGATGGGATGAGCCTTATCTGATTCAGCGGTAGAAGAAACAGGGTGCTGGTTCAAGGGCGAAAACTTCGGTGCAACAGACCTCTCGATCGATGGTGTCCGGGTGCGCGCGGTCTCCATTGTCATATCTCTCAACACCTCGATTCATCACCGAGGTTAATCTCCGCGCGTCATCAGGACATCCCGTTCACCTCTTAATAGTACCGACACGATAATCCCTGAAACACATATGGTGCGAATACGGGAAATATAGACAAGGACAAAGGCGAAGCAAGGCATATTGACGCGGGGGGTGGTGGCGACTACCGGAGGATTGTCTAGCAAACAAAGGCGGTATGCACCTGGTACTGCATGTCTACATCCGGCGCCTTACCAGGTCCATGACCGCGGTAGCGAGCGCAAGGCTTTTGTCATCTTGGCCGGCTTTTGGTTGGGCGGGAAGAGTGGACTGCGGATGCAACCGCATTCCGATGGGCCCTGGCTTGCACAGACCACATGGCCGCCCAAAACCGGTACTTTGGACGTAGGGAAGATGGGTATGTGAGAACAGTATCTATTGGCGAGTGGGACGAAGGGTGGAGTTCGCCCAGAAAGCCCCTTGCTCTATATCTAAGCGCGGAGGCGAAAACTAACAACGCCATATGCAATGCCACCAAATCGTTCGGGATCAACATGAGATGGACATGGAGTATGAAAGAAAAGCGAATCCGAAAAAATTAGGAGGACTTTGGCGAAGCCCTTACTCGCCGTCGCGGTCGAACATCTTCGTCATCGCCTTTTGCGCAAGCTCTACACCGGCAAAGGTGGCTGCGTTGGCAGGTACTGCTCGTGCCATGGCTGGGCCAATACCAGGGAAGAAAGCCTTGAGACCACCGCTCGCGTGGATGCCCTTGATGGTTCCGCTGATTGTTGGTCGGCCTTCGGCACTTTGCAACCGCGACTTGATGGTGTCGACTGGGAAGACGGGTATCCACATGGCGATACCGGCAGCACCACCAGCAACCATGACGGCGCCCATACTCAGCGACCCCGGCTGACCGGTGACAGGGTCTTTTGGCGTGAGGCTGCGCTTGACAGTCTCGTATGTCGCAAAGTAGAGCGCTGATCCAGGACCGTCACGCGCCAGTGTCATGGCAGAGCCGCGGTACACTGACTTGATGCCGCCCTCCTTGTATAGCTGCTTGACCACATCCATGCCACCAGCGTATTTTGGCTTCTCGCCAGGCGCCAGGTTCTTTTGTCCCTGAATCTGCAGCAGCACCTTTACGCGCTCGAAGGGCGCAGTGATGATGGTCATGGGGATGGCGCTGAAGAAACCGGCGGCGGAGACTTGTGCGACGCTGAACTGGTTGTTCTCGACCTTGGACACGCTGGAAACGAGTTGCTTGCCGAGATCATAGCCCCAGAAGGACACCGCGACTGTCAATTGTCAGCCTTGGTTATTCATATACTGGTCCTCCTGTACTCACACATGGGTGTTACACCAACAAGCGGCGCAGAAACACCTGCATACAGCCCCCTAGCCAGCCCTTCCTTTGCGATGGTTTTCCGCACAACGTCCATGGCCCCGCTGTAGACGCCCTTCTCTGCCGTCTGCATGCGCACCTTGACCAGATCAAAGGGATGGCCGACCACGACAGCAAACACTCCACCCACACCTCCCGCTAACAGCGCCCGCAGCGACTGCAGCGAAGACTTGGACGCTGCCTTGACATCTTCTTTCAGCTCAGCCGTGTTGGGCAGCTTCTCAATGACCGAATCCGCCGTGTTTGACATGGTGGGAGCTGTAGTGGGGTCGCGTGGGATGGACAGGCGCGCGTAGGTTTCGGATAGAGGCAGCAGAAGCAGATACAAGGACTAAAGAAGCCGTCTGGAGAAAAAGCACACCTACGCGACTGCACCTACAATGCGATGAAGAGAGAAAATGCGTGGCTGAGGTGGGCGAAGGCGGATTTGGGTTTCGCATGTGCAAGCTCCAGTGCTCCGGAGAGCTGGTGCTGGGCCTACGTCGGTCCAGCGTTCGGCTGTCCATATGCCGAGGCTGATCGGCGCCGAACAACCGCGCACCTCGTGTGAAAGCCATTGACTGAAGAACGTCATGTGAGGGGTGTTAAGTGCCAAGTTTAGCATGAAGATGGTGTTTGGTTCGCACGGAGAAGGAAGCGAATGGGTTGAGCCTTGTAATTGTGGAAGGAGTGATGTGGCTTCACATACAGGAAGCTTGATCCTCCGGTCGAACGGCGCGAGACATACACCATCGCAGCCAGTGGACGCGCGATGCTGGCATCGTCTGGCACGCATCTTGCTATTCCCGTTGCATTCAGAGACATCTACGCGTAGTATCAGTATCGCTATACCAAACTTCCACTTTCCAGTCTTCGCTCAGCATGTCTAGTCGGTTCTCGTATCACACTCGCGCCTGACATCAAAGCGCGAGAGAAAACACCTAACAATCACAAACTTCATCACCCGCCCGACAGTCAAGCGCACGAGATCTTTCTTCTTAGCAAACACCTCTCATCTATATCTAGTCTACTACCCCACTTGCAATTCTCTTCCATCCACATCAACTTTCATCAACACACATTCCTGGGGTGTGCATCACACCAGCGCTATAACCTGGACCGTGGGTCTCCCAAAGGGTTTACACGGTAGGAAGGGTTCGTAGTGGGAGGCTCTTGAAAGGGTTGGTTGGCAAAGCGGTGGGGCTGTTCAACACCGGGGGTGAGGTATCCATGGATGGCTTGTTTCCCTTTCCCCTTTCCACCTTTCCATCTGTTCCACGGAACATTCGGGACGGAGAGCTGACATGACACAAGTGTGTATGGGGACTATCCAAAGAGGAGTCATTGCATACGAGGTCATATGTCGAAGAGGAGAGACCCAGGCAAGAGACCAGAGAGACACAGATGGGGTGTGTGCCAGCGTTGTGTCAAACCCGTAAGAAGTTGAAACGGGTGTACACCATAGGAAAGATATTAAAGGGACGCTCTTGATCGGGTTGGTTGGCAGAGAGGTGGGGCTGCCGACATGAGTGCGAGGTATGTTCCCTTTTCCCCTACCTTTTCCCTTGTCCTCTCTTCGCCCGAGACATAGGATGGTGTGCTAACACCACGAAGCTTCCCAGAGAGGAACTCCGCAGTCCGTGGAGATTCCCAGAGAGGAACCACACCGAACGCGATAGCCTCCAAAGAACGGCCATCACGAATGCCATTCTCCAAAGAGAGAATTGTTTTACCTGGGCGCCCAGGTCGACGGGGTCTGTACCAGACCAGTGATCTCGAGAGGGGCCTCGACTCAGTCCGCTTGTTCAAAACACACTAGGGCGCAGTATCGTGTGGTCAAGAGCTCTGCGCACCTATCCATGGTGGTTTCCAACGCCACTCATGGGTAGGATGCGTCAGAACAAGAAGACTGAGATAAGGCTCTAGCTTGAGGTTGGGGCTTCTTAACGGGAGCGGTTGGGGGAGCGGCGGGACCCTCGACATATGTATGTCTTTTCGTTGGCTTTGACTCGGCTTGGCTGGGGGGCTGAAGAAGAGATAGTGTCATCGATGTGATCTGGATCTAGTCGCGTAGGCTAAGATGCGCATGCACCCAGAAAGCAAGATAAACCCAGTCGGAAGTTTCTTTCGACCTTTCACTACCCCAACGTCCCAGCGCCTTTACGCCACCACCTTCACTGTACATACACCAGGCACCAGCGCCTTCATTGTGCATACACCATACACTAGGCAACAGCCCCCTCGCCCCCTCCCCTCCTCTCCCCTCTCCTATATATTCCTCCTCCCCCAACCACTCCCTCTCCTCCCCTCTTCAAACTGGCGTCTGCAACAGACCAGTCCCTCGAGACGGAACTCCCCACGCGTTCGATCCAACAGATTATCACGTGTCACCAGGAAAGTTTACGACCGGCGTAGCTTTCCAACGGTGATACAGATCGTCTGTCTGACGAGCGTGTGAGAGTCTGATGTCGAGGGGGGGCTTCCTAACGGGAGCGGTTGGGGGAGTGGTGGGACCCACAACATTTGTACAAGTCTTTTCGTTGGCTGCTATACTCTTTTCCCTCCTCTTCTCTACGACAAATCTGGGGTCTGCAACAGACCAGTCCCTCGGACGGACTCTCGAGAGGCGCTTCGTGGACAGGGCTATCACGTGCCATTTGTTATAACGTAGTCGGGCAACCGGTGTAGTTAGCGAATGGTGCAGATGGTCTTGCAACGGGGCGAGGACGGGAGTTCTGAATTCGAGGGGGGGCTTCCTTGATGGGGGCGGTTGGGGGAGTGGTGGGATCCCCAACACGTGTGTGGATATATGGGTTCTTTTCGTTGGCTTCCTTGGCTTGGCTGGGGGGTTGAAGAAGAGTGAAGGAAGATCGCAATTGAAGAAGTAGATCATTATCCATAGGTCATTATTACTATCCCAATCAGCCATGTATCTCTGCCCTATCCCATCATTATACAACCAAATGTTTACTCGAATACTTGATCAGGGGAATCATAAAAACTGGAAACACCACATCCACCTCAATCCCTATTAATAACCCTCAAACTCCTCCTCGGATTCAACAACACACCCCTCGCCCCCCAAAAGCTCGGCTCCTGCCCATCCAACAACCCATCCACAACACTCCCCTCACTATTCCTCCTACCCCAGCGATCCCCCTCTCCAGGCCCGCCATACGCCGTCGTAGGCATAGGATCCACACTCCCCCTCCTCGTAATATCAAAGCTGCCCGCCGCAACACCCCCATGGCTACTCCCACCGAGCGTACCCGGCGGCCGCTCACTACTGTTCTTACCGGAGCTACTAGTAAAAGTACCCTGTTTCTCCGCATTCGCACGTGTTTGTACGGCCGCAGCGTGCGACTTCCAGATCTGGACTTGGCGGCGGTAGATCCAGGCGCAGAAGGCGAAGTAGGCGGCGATGATGAAGAAGACGCCTGCGATTACGCCGGCGACGATGGCGGCGATGTTGGGGCCGCTGTCGCCTGAGGAACTACCCTGTGGGTTCCCGTTGATGACATTCGTAATGGTTGCGCCATCGGGACCAGTCATGGTGTAGGTTTGGGGTTTACCGGTTGCGAGGGGGCCTTGGGTGGGTGTTTGGACGGGGGCGGT